CAACTGTGAAAGGTCTCAATACTTTGCAAGGAATTGTATACTGTAATATATAATGCACTTTTTGATCCCTTAGGTTGAAAAACACTATGCATACAGTATGCAAGCTGTGACAGACCCTATCCTTAAACAAGGAGACTCAAATGATCTGAACGTACTGTATACAAACCCACAATGGGAGATACTGGACAGTGCAGGAGGCTTTATTGCAGATAGTTAAATAAAACCCTATAGCACACCCTCTCAAGACTACTAATTCCTCAACTAATACTGTGAAGCCATTTATATCTCATTCCATTTATTATTATTTCAATGCATATCAGTCATACCCATGTGAGAATCTGCCCTCTAAATCCTTCACCAATTTTATAATTAACTAAACATCACCTAGGCTTTTAGTGCAGTTCACCTATAAACAGTCCCCTCATAGACACCTTACCACAACAGCATGTAAAATCTTACTCCATTTGCTTCATCAGTTGTGTTTGCTGTACCTGTAGTTAGAAAAACAACAAAAAAGCAAAACATGAATTTCATGATATCTGCAGTCAAAATGTAAGTCTTAGTCAGGCAACTGATCTGAACTGGATCTGACACTGATCTGAAATACATTTAAAACACCAAGCTGAATGCTTTAAATAATTTATATGGTCAATCATGACACTTCTTTTTTACATCCTTTTATCACACTTTTGAATGATTTTTGAATGCACTTTGAGTAGGGAAGGATCATGATGCAGGCACATACAGCAGAATTCATAACATAGTTTCAATTTTCAACAGATAATGATTTCCCTATCAGTTTATACAGTATGCAAATTCCTAGGCATGTTTTTAGCAATGGTACTTCTTGTGACTGTGACTTGGTGAAGTACTTTTGGACCAGCAAGAACTATCACTTGTAAGATTTACTGTATTAAATTTTAGATATTTTCAAGTTTTTGCCCCCATTTAAACATTTATAATTGATAATAAAGGACTTCAGACAGTTTAAAAGCCATAGGTCATACTTTTAATTTTGATTTCTTCACACTGCATAACATAATCAGATTTTAAACATTTAGTTTGCTTTCAATTTTGCTACAAGGTTTCTGGAAAATATAATCTAGGTGTAGTCAATTATTAAACTGTATAGTATTGTAAGAAGTGTAATTAATTACAGTGACGTTTGTTTTAATGTTTGACAGATCTGACATGGCCCTTTAGGGACACAGGAGCTGGGTTATGTCTCAGACAGCTTGCTGCTCTGTTGATCAAGCGCTTTCATCACTGCCGGAGAGACTGGAAGGGAGGCGTAGTTCACCTCCTGCTGCCAGTTCTTTTTGTCACCATGGCAATGGCTCTGTTCACTGTGAAACCACTGGTTATTCATTACCCAGCACTCAGGCTGACTCCCCAGATGTACAACAGCTCTGAAGGATGGTTCTTCAGGTATGCCAATTTAGCACACAACAATCTCCTGAGATCTTTTCTCTGTGTGTATACACGGGAGGTTTGTTACAAGATTTTGGGGTTCCTTTTTCCATCCATTATCAGACAGCCATTTATTCTTAGTAAGGGTCATGAGTTCTCAGAGTCTAGAGGCAGTTCTTGCAGATATTAAATAGCTTAGAAAGTGCAGTAAATAAGGACAAGGTTGGATAAAACCCCAGAAAGCATAGCTTTTTCAAGTTCATTATTAACACAAAAAGAGCCACACAGAAAATTATAAAAACTTCAGGGGAGTAATATAAAAATTAACAGATAAAGGTTGACACTTTTGACATACTAGGAACCAAGAAATACATAATCATCAAAACTTAATATTTCCAGGATTGGCTTTCAATCAATATACAGTACGTACTGTATTACCCTGTATTTATTTTATATAATTCAGGTTTCATATTATCATTGAATACCTCACAAGATTTATCACATTAGACATGCCCCACAGGTCTATTGATTGATTTCTAACTGTGACAAACTGACAAATATGGATTAAAAACACAGGGAACTCAAATAGTTTTTCACAGCTTTAGACTGGAAAGAAGAAATTGGGATGTCTTTGTCTAAGTGTTTTAATGATAATACTGTCGAACAGTATGAATTATATTTTAGAATATGGTTAATTACCTTAATACCAAACATTCATTGTCCTTCACACAGACTTACTACATGTGCATCAAGAATTTATCCAAAAGTAACAGTTCCCACTTTAAGATGCTTTAACAATGTACACTATGTGTACCTTGTCTCAGTGTTCTTACAGCCTCTGATCATTTCATCCCTTAAAATTCAATAAATCAATAAAGGTTTAATAAATAAATAATAATTGGCTAAAAATCTAAATATGGAAAAACACATGCAGTATGTAATATTTCATAAAATATTTTAAAATAAAGGCTTTTAAAAGGCGCATTGAAAATAAAAGTACTGAAGACAGTTGAGCTGTTCAGATATGCCTATGGGCACATTACTTGTGCATTTTCCACATCATTCACTACTCACCAACAAAAGTCTTCCCCACTCATTTTACATTAAATTGATGAATATAAATATTTATTTTAAAAATAACTGAAATAAAACTATATCATATTTTAAGATTTCACATTGATAAATATGAGGAGTAGCTTTAATTTGGGGATTCAACCCGCTGCCTTGGGGCTAATCATAGTGTTCAAATGTTCCATGTAAATAGTATCAAATTTAGGCCAGAAACGAGCCGTACCAGAACTTAATAATGCTTTTTTATTGCAATTAGACAGATAAGCCCTACTAATAAATATGTAAACATGTTAACTGCAGAGGGTTTGTCAGAATCTGCTAAAGTTATTAATGAAAGTTTAAGGAAGACCTTGTTTCCCACCAATCACCCATTACAACATCACTATACTGTCCTTACAAGTCTTCTTCCCCTGAAATCACTGCTCAGCAATCCACCATTGCCATTGTAGCAGCCTCTTGGTTGACCAGACACAGAGGTCCTGTTTAAAAAATACTGAATTGTACCTTACCATTCCCATACCATATCATCCAGGTTTCTAAAATTGTTCTGTGTTGAAGTTATTGAACAGATTATCTGTAAAGCCTCAACCTTTCACTTTAATTTCTTAAATTCTGTTAATGAATTTTGCAAATATAGTATCTTTCACACAGTATCACATTTTTTCAGTGTGTAATTGTTTATTTCTACTTCAGCTCTGATGGTTTTGTGCCAGACAACTTAACAGATGCACTTCTGTATTGGAGGAGTAAATCTGTGTGGTAACCAGACAACAGAAAGGTTAGTTTTTAGACAATGTCTTCTTACTGCGACAAGTATGCATCATGTTACTGTATACATTTTACCACCTCATGAAAGCAGACCTCTCAGAAATACTATGCTACAGTATGTTAGTGTTATCCAATTATGTTTACTCTTTTGTAGTCCTCAAGTAAAATAATACCTGAGCTATTCCTGCAATATCCTGGTGACAAAGAAATAAACAAGCAAAGCTACAAGGCTAATTTTACTAGTCTTTTACATAAACAAAACTATGTAATATGAATAAAACTACTATATAGTATACAGCTATTGAAGGGGTGTAACTATAGTTCTGTAGATACAGTAAATTATGTTTTAATAAAACTAGTAAATCTGTCCTAGTCCATGTTTATTAAGCTTGCATTCTAAATTTAAATTGTCTTATATCAGTGCATAACAGTAACTTAATTGACAACAAGTTGAGTTATATTTTGTTTCAGTATGATAGTTAGCTTGAGAAGAACTAGTTACGACTTTATTTAATAACAAGCAAAAATGTAGCCAAGGATGTTCTAGTTTTGTTGCAATGCTTTGGTATCAAACAGCATGGTCTCTATCTAACCCATAAAACATTGGTCACATCTTGGATTTAGACATTGTAAATGTGTAATTTTGTTTTCAAACTTTCTGGTCACTTGAGTGTTATCTTTGGTCTAGAATTCCATGTCTCATACTCATCACATTCTGTAAGTTTTCCGAACTAATGATCAGCTGATCAGAACAGGTTTGCTGATTCTGCTCTCTCTTCATCGTCTTGCTTGCCCATTTCTGATACTCTGGATGACAAGGTGCAAATGATTAATAGCTTTTGACTTTTAACTACTCTTGAAATCTTAGCTCCTCTTACAGTTTTATCTATCTCTTATGCTAGTTGTGCCTCATGGTTCAGTATATTTACCAGTTGTCCTCAATGAAGGCAGTCTCCCACAAACTAGAATGCAGGTGCCGTCTTTCTGGCTTGAATGTACATCTTCCGTCTTTGAAGGAGTACTTGATAGTGTACAAAAATCAATCACCACCACCAATCGATTGCTAAAGCCACTTCATTTCCTGCTTCTTTCCATTTTGCAACAACCAAGATGAACAATATGCAGTACCATATTCTCTGTGCCACACTTTCCACTACTACACCTCCTTCCTGGATGCCTGTGTTTTCTCTTTCTTGTTTCTCTCAACTTGACACTGCATGCCTACTGTTAGCAAGTTGGTATAGCATATGAAACCCACCACCTGTCTACTAGATCCCACTCCTTTTGTTTTATTTCAATCCAATTTCCAGCCCTCTGCCCTCCTTTCCTCAACATAATAATTGAGTCCTTTATCACTGAAGTGGTACCGACAGCCTTTAAAATGACTTCTGGTCCACCTGATCTTAAAAAAAATTGGCTATGAACAGCGTAACTGTTTTGATCCTATATCTAACTTATCTTTTTTTTTGTGAAAATTTAAGAACATGTTGTTAAATACAATTTAGCAATAGACTTATTGCAAATATCCTCATCAAAGTATTTCAGTCTGGTTTCAGACAATTCCACAGCACAGAAATTGCACTTGTAAAAGATACTAATGATCTTCTTATAGCAGCTGATTCTGGTTTGATATCTATCCTAATTCTCCCAGATCTAAGTGCTGCTTTTGATACTGTAAATTATGATGTTTACTCTCCCACCCTGCGACTATTTTTAGAGTTTCTAAAATCCTCCTTAAATGGTTCAACCCTTATCTTACTGATCAACGACACTTTGTTTCTCTTGGGGATTTTAGTTCTGAAGATGGTTTCGTTAAATCTGGTGGTCCCCATGATACTGGGCCCACTGCTATTTAGCATTTACATGTTCCCAGTTGATCAGAAATTAAAAGCACATGGTCTGAATTATCATTTTATGCTTATAACACTCCAATATATGTCCCTACTAAACCTGACACTGAAATAGCTGTTTCTAC